GGGAAGGGAAGGGAAGGGAAGGGAAGGGAAGGGCACTGCTAAGACATTCCTTCCCCATCATTACTGAAACTCAGACCATAGGTTCAAAGCTGTGGGAAGAAGAAGGAGATGAGTTCATTCATTCACCTTTCCCTTCCTCAGAAAACCAGAGTGAAAAATACCACCAGAGCAGCCCTAAGGAGATGTCTCAGATGTCCCTGGTCACCAAGGGAGGTCATGTGCCAGAGGGGGCCTGGCACGTGGAGCTCAGGGCAGTGCAGGGACTGCAGTGACAAATGGCAAGTGCATTTCTGGCTGATTTGGGCAGGGGGCCCAGGCAGTGACACAGTGGCCCTGGCTCAGCACAGTGGCCCCTTGGCAGCCACGTGATGCCCACGTGCCATTTACAGCTGACCTGCTCCTCAAATGATGCCCAGCTCCCCGTGGCTGATGAAAGGTGTAGATGATGGAAGGTAAAATGTTGATGCAGCATTTGTGAGGCTCATCCCACAAGGATGAGAGGTAGCAAAGGTGATTCTCCAGGAATCAAGCTGTGAACAGCAGACTATGAATCACAGCTTGTCAACACAGATTTTGAAATAATAACATTAATTACTCATTTGATAGTCACACTACAGTGAAAAACACTGAGAAATCTATCAAGTAATTCAATTAAATGTGGGTAGAACTGTCAGCATGCAAAATGATACTAAAGAGGTAGAGCAAGAGAAAAAAAATCAAAATTAAGAGCAGGTGCCAATTGTAGACAGAAATTCCTCTATATATAGACTTAGTCACATTTTAATTTTTTTTTTTCAGCTCTCTGAAGTTTGCTCTTTGAAACAACCAAACAAATTCTCAAATGTAAAAAAACTCCATGATATTCTCAGGTTTTGCTGTTTCTACAGAGACCAAGAAGGGAGAGATGTCAGCAGAACATGATGATGAAACACCTCAGACTTCCTCCATGCAGAAACAGTGTGATCATGGTTGGGAGTAGGGTGAGGGTGAGCTGTGGGACAAAAACATGGAAATCAAATGGCTTTACAGAGTGAACTTGCTACTTTTCAAAGAAAAATAGGTGCTGAAATCCCTCCAGTCTTGTTGGAAATGATACAAAGTTTAAAATTTGTTAATATAACTTTAGTCAGGGGTTTTGTTCACCTTTGCCCAGGGGGAAAGGAATTAAAGTTGTTTTTTTAAAGGACTGTATCCCCACTCGAGGCCTGATGAGCTTAACGTCTCAACAGACTGGGGGTAGCACAGAAGACATAAAAAAGATAACAACCATTAATGACCATTAATGAGCATCAACTCCAGACATCACCCCTGGGATGGTCAGAGACTCCTGGTCTCAGAAAAGATCAATAAGAGAACAAAGAATGGGAAACTAATTAGCATTGAAGGGAAAGGGATCCATAACCAATAGGAATCCAAATACTAAGAACTCCATAATTTGGGACCAATGAACATTGAACCAATTAAATTCTCTGGGTTTTGACTGTAAGTATGTGAAAAATCTAGTGAACATCATTTGTGATGGAATGATTTTGTCTGCATGACCCAGGCAATGTGTGGACAAAATTATTTCTGTTGCATATCCTGGCCACAAATAAAGTGATGCCTTGATTCTCTAACACTACAAAATGTTGTTGGACAGTTTTTGGGTTTCCCTCTCTTTTGGTGACAGGCTGGAGTGGCCTGGAGTAAGACTTTGTGCTCTGAACCTCAGCAGACATCTGATGATCCATGTGAGGAACAGTCTGGGGATAGACTGGGAGTTCTGGACAAAACCTGGTCCCCTTCAAGGCAGAGACAGCTTTGCTCTAGTTCATAAAATATCTTGCACAGATGGGAAGGTTTGCAAGAAGGAGGCTTAAAGCTGTTGGTTTCAGGGTAAGGGTAGAGACTGCAGTGAAAGGAAGAACAGCCAAAAAGATAGGGCAGCTGTAAAACAGTGCTGGTTCAAAATATCCAAATAAAGTGCCATCTTGCTGCTTTTTCTACACATCTGAACACCCTGTAAAAAGGAAGGGGTTAAGCCATCCAGCGTGCCCTGGAAAGGTCTATTATTGTCCACCACAGTATTGACAGAAAATAATAAAAAAATCCTCAAACAAATAGTAAAAAAACCATTAACAAAACAAATCCCACAACTCAAGATGATCTGGTACAATCAGAACCTTAATCAGAGCTGAAGTCTCTCTCCAGTGACCTCTCTGATGTCCCACGGCGAGTGTGGCACAGACATGGGCTCCTGTGTCATGTCCTGCCCCTGGGGCTGCATTTCTTCAGCTCAAGAGCACTTTTCCCTACCCACCACTCACCCTCACCAAATCCCCTGGAATATCAAGATGCCAGCTGGAGTGAAATCACAGCTCTTACACCTCCCAGTTGCTGTATTTGCTCCCCAGTTCTGCTGTGGGACCACATTACCAAGGCTGGATGCTGGTGGGCAATTGCCAGCCTCCCTTTGTGTGCCTTGGTGGCTCCACGGCTTTAGGGCAGGGACATTATTAGTGCAGAGCAGCCCAGGCAGTCCCTTACCTTTCACTGAGAGCTGGTAAAGCATTTTATCCCCTTCACAGACACACTCATAGACTCCAGCATCCTCCTCGGCAGCTCGGCGGATTTTCAGGACGCGCCTCTTCCCCACGGTTTGGAACTCGTATTTTTCACTGGCCTGGAGCTCCTTCCCATCTTTCATCCACTTCACAGTGGCCTCTGTGTCTGAAAGCTCAGCCTGGAGTTTGGCTTCTTCCTGCAGCCGAGCTGAGACTTTTTCTATGTCTTTGCTCTTGTTGGTGAATCTCACTGCAGCTCCTGCCAGGACAAGAGGCTTTGTTATTTTGAGTTATATGCTGATTATATCATGATATAACTTATCCCTGATACAGGTCTGCTGTAGACTGTGAGATCTCTGAAGGTATCAGATCCTGTTCCTGCCCTCACACTCATGTCAATACTGTGTATTCTTTCCCAGTTCAGAAAACTTGATCTGTTTTTATTGCCAGAGTCACCAAAAAAAACCAAAAAAAAACAACAAAAAAAACCCCACACTTTTTTTCTACTGATAAATAATACTCTCAAGATGCTTCTGCACAGATCTCCCAAGCCAAACACATCCTTCCAGAATAAATGATTCATTATGAATTCATTATGTTTTGTCTTGCAATGTGGTAGGTACAGATGTTACTGTCATTTCATAGAGGAAACCTTGATCTTAAGTTCCAGCATACTAACTTTTATATCCCCCACATGGTGGACTAAAAAACCTACAAGAAAAGCTTTGCTAGTAATGAATGCTCTTTTACTTTTGAAATATTATTACAATCCAAGAGACTGGTCAAACCTAGAGCTGAAATTAAAACTTTAAGGTGAATTAGTGGCAGATTTGGTGACAGAATCCACTGACAAATGGTTGTGAATAATATAAATTTGACAGAAATTAGTGAGCTGATGTGAAGCTGATAGTTCAAATACCATCAGCTGGCCAGATCATCTCACTCTGAGCTGTCATGTGAGGTCATTACCAGGACACACATTCATCACATGACAATTTCAGGTGCTTCCCACAGACCAAAGAAAACTTCCAGCCCCAGTTTTAATCCTCAAGTCCCAGAAACCACCCCTTGACTGGGAGAAGAATGGACAACGATGCCAATAAATAATACCTCTCACTCTCATCTTGGTGCTGGTCTCAACGTCATTGGCAACAAATTTCACTTCTGCCCCATCATCTCTCCTGGTGACATTTTTTATGAGCAGGGTGTGAGTGGTTTGGGTTCTGTTCATGATGTAGGTCTCACTTTCCTGTAAGACTTTGCCATTCAGGTACCAAGTGCCAGAACATGTCTTGGTCAGGTCGACAGTGAACAGGGCATCTCCTCCAGGTGCAACTTCAGCTGTTGTCAGGGGGTTTTTCACAGCCAGGACGGGTTCTAGGGAAGAACAACACACACCTCTGAGAACAAACTGTCCTGCTGGAGGATATCTCATCTTAGGAACCAAATTGTCAGGGTAAACAAGGCGTGAGAATAAATTAATGCAGCCTTATACAAATCTCATGCACTGAAGGAAATACATAGTTGGTCTAAAGGATTTGTTTCCTTCAGCTACAGGTAACTGACTTTTGGAATCCTATTTTTGCAGGTCTAGAAAATCTGCAAAATATAACTGCAGGTGTATTTTACTGATTTTTTTTTAATCCCTAAAATGTATAAAGGCATAGGCCAGAAACACCTAAGTCTCCTACAGGTGTGTTGTTTTTGAATAGCCAATATTCAGATTTCAGAGATTAGGTTTCAGAACTTCTTAGATTTCAGAAGGAGTGACTTCTGGATATCCCTATGAATTAGTTCTAGATATTCCAGGACAATACAGACACGTTCAGACAAGGATGACAAAATCACAAGACACAGTGTGATCAGTTTCTGTGGGTCTTCAGTATCTGTACAGATATTTTCTAGTGCAGTGATTCAAAAGAAGAGGGAATGCCATTGCACCCAATGATTCTATGGGCACATTAGCGCCCTAGAAATAGAGCAAAATCCCTGGATTTCTACTATAAATCCTTAGATTAATGAGAGACTGGCTAGAACTTGGTTTTCATGATGATATGATCACCCATAAATATTCTCTAGGTGCAAGATCACTATCTCACATCTATATATTGAAAATTGTGCCATAAGGCCATCTCAAATTTTCTTTTCATTGCAGGTGCAGAAGAAGCCTTTACAGGTTTAAGGTCCAGAGCAGGGAGCTCTGCCTCTTCCACAGCCTGACGTGGGATACTGGAACATAAACACACCCACAGCTCCACCCCAGAAACCCAACCACCATCACTGAGCTGGTTCTGGACATTTTCCTTCCTCTCTTTGGTGAAGACCAGTGGTTGACATGAAGCAGGAGAACCAGCAGTGAAGGCAAAGAGGATTTGCTGGGCTATTTCTCCATCCTCAGAGCCACGGGAGATGTTCCCAAAGCACCCAAAGGTGTCCGATCACCCCATTTCGTGCCGGTTTCGTGCTCACCGAGGTGCAAGCTCCCAGGGAATTCCAGGTAGGGGCTCTGTCCATAGGTGTTGACTGCAGACACCCTGAACTGGTAGTCAGCCTCTTCTGGCAGGTTGCTGACCGTGAGCTCGGGGCTGGGGACGTGGGACTCGTGGCACCTGACCCAGGTGAAGCCGGTGAGTTTCTTGCGCTCCACGATGTATCCGTCGACTGGAATGGGCCTGTCCATCCTCGGAGGGGACCAGGCCAGTGTCACTGAGGTTTCTGTTTTATTTTTCACCACAGGGTCAGCTGGGGGTTGGGTGGGAGGTTTTTTGGGAGCTGTGCAAGGGGGAAGAAACAAAAAGAAACAGAGAAGTAAGTGGCATGGGAGTGGAAAAGCCAAAATAGCTTATGGGAGACTAAAATTACATCTTGCTTAATAAATGTCCATAAAACATTGATGTGAGATGGAAAAGCAAGAGAATGGATGGAAGATGCTTTGAGGAAGATGACAGAATCATTATCATCCCAGGTCAAGTCCAAACCTTGATGTCTAAATCTTGTATTGCACAGCTAAACATATGTGATTTCTACACAATATTAAAACTGTCTACACAGTCTTCAACAAACATTTTGTAGTCCAGATCCAAACTTCTGCCCTTCACAGCTCCTGGGCAAAGCAGACTAACACTCAGCTTCTTATTTTCGCTCAGAAGATGGGTAAAACCAACAGCAAAGTTTGTTCAAATCTTTAAAGAGTTACGGAGAGCTCAGCTTGTAACACAGGCTTGGATGTTCCCTGCAGCCTCCTTGATCTGGGTATCTGTCCTGCTCCTGAATTTTAGGCTACCCCCACTCAGAAGCTGTAACTTTGTCTCCCAAGAGTGACATCGTTTGGGATCTTTGTTTTACTAATTTATGCAGAACCAGCTTTTGGGATTGGGGAATTAACTTCAAAAGGAAATGACAAAAAGACAAGTCCCCACCATGAGAGCCTACTATTGAGGAGATGTGGCTATTTTATGGTAACTGAAGCTACAGAGGTATTCCTGCAGGTATTTGCATAATGAATATTTATTTTCAGCCTTTCATTCCTCTTGAACCCTTTAGAGGAGGCTCAAGTCCCATCAGGATTATTCACTACGTGCTGCCACTGATATGGTCAAGAGGAATTATCTGATGTGCTCTAGTTACACACCTCTACTTACATGGCCCAGGATTAATTTCATTTAATTTTGGCAATCTGAAAGGTGTCTGAGTTAAGTCAGTCAACCAAACTCCAGCTGTGTTCCCATGAACAGCACACTCAGGAGCAATTAATCCAGCTTAAAGAAGGTGTGGGAGGTAGGTGAAACAGTCACACAGTGGATATATTCAAGAATTCCCAACTAGATGAAGTCTCTTGATGAGCCTAAACTAAAAACTGAGCTCTGGGACAACTGATCTCCTTCCTGCCTCAGTTTCCCCATCTTTACAATGGGCGTGGTAACAATGCAAGATGACAAATAATACACAAACATTGCCTGCACATTACAAAAGGTATCAGAACAGCCACCACCAATCTCACCCAGCTAATTGAAAAAGATGTGGACATAGTACACAGGATTCTCCAAGCAGTAAATCTGATATGCACAAAGGGTAAAAATAGGAAATCTCAACGCGATACGCTTTTCCTTCCTTACATAAATAGCCACAGAAGTGTTTTGGGGTGCACAGTTACCAGCCTGTCAGTAACTGCTGGTCACAGATAGATGTCAAAGGTCCTGTTAGGGGAATATTAAGCTGAACACTAAGCCCTGGAATGAGATCTCTTGACCTTGCCATCAGAAATGGTAATGCAATGTTTTCTTCAGCAATACCTGCTTGTAGGAAGGCAGCTCCTTTTAATTTCTGTTCTGTGAATCAACACTTCCTTCATAATTTAAACAGCAGAGTCTGAAATCAATCTGAACTTTATTGTTCCCATTGCATAGGTGCTTCTTTGGATGCTACAGCTTTAAAAATACCTTCGAAATTGTCACAAAGCCAAATGTGACACTTTCCTCATTTTAATTCAATGGCATCAGAATGCCCAAACCAAGTCTAGATAACAGCAGTTATGTATCTTTTAACTAAAAGATTCCTTTTTGCCACTGACCGATTGCAGTGGTGAGAGAAGAGAATTACTCCTCCCAAATTGTGACTGGAGTGGATGATTTGTTCATATATAAACCAGAACTGTAACAGAGAGAGAAATCATATGTATTTTTATCTTAAATAAAGCAGATTTTGCCTGGGAGTGTCATGAAAATAATGCCAAATAAAATCAGGCAACTTCACCAGAATTTCATTTCAGGTCCAGTCTTGATGATGTTGCACTTGCTGCTACTGCTCTGTCAAGAAAGATACGTTTGTGTCATACTTTTTCCCCAGCACTGCTTTTACCCAGAGAAACTGTGGATGCTCCATCCCTGGGAGTGTTCAAGGCCAGGCTGAGCAAGGCCCTGCCAATCCTGGTCTGATGGAAAGTGTCCCTGCCCATGGCATGGGCTGGAATGAGATGATCTCATCCAACCCAACCCATTCCATGACCCTACAGATATTCTCTGTTTTGATCCCTCCAAACATCCCATAACACTCATGGCCAGGCTGGTGGCTTTTTATGGCAGACATCAGACCTCCAGCTGGTTTTGGACACCAGAAGTATCACGGTGGCACTTGAAACAACAATGCTGCCACGGGAGCAGCCATGGGAAGATGTTGGAACCCTAAAGCCTGGGAGTTTTGAATTTTCTGTGCTTTCTGTCACTGACCCCCTGGAGAACACTGCTTTTGACCTGAGGCCTTGGAGAAGGCTTCCAAAATTGAGTGATGGAGTTGGAATCACTGGTGTGTAGTTTGAATAGAAGTGTGTACTTTCACATGGTGAAGGGTTTGGAATTTGGGATTTTAGAATATAGTAATAGGTGTGGGACAAGGTGGACATTCTTGAGTGTTGTCTTTTCTTCCTTCTTGTTCCTTCTTCTTCATGATTTCAGGCAGTAGTTTTTTTGTTTGGATAGAAAATCCTGCAGTGTGGGTCACAGGTGTTTGGTCACTGGGTCAAAAGTATCAATAATATAGGTGTTAGTTTTTAATTGGATAGTTAGCCTTTAAAGTCCTTGTAACTAGCTAGATACACTTCCATTTTCTCACTTTTAGCTTGTTAACTAGAAGTGCTGAAGAACTCTCTGTACTATAGATAAGATTTAATAAACAACCAAGCCCAAACAAGAAAATCCATCTGTGGAGTTTCAATCCTGACTCTGAGCGAAGGCAGAAGAAAAAAAAAATATAAAAATAAAGTGGAGCTACTATCAGGAAGACACAACAGCAAGGCCAAACAAAAGAGAAGCTTACTGGTCACAGTGAACTGAGTAGAAGTCCTGCTTTCTTCAGCCAGGAAGGCAATCTCACCAGCATCTTCCATCTTGCACTCCCTGATGGTCATGGTGTGCTGTTTGCCAGAGCGTGTGATGGAGATTCGCTCGCTGGCTTTCACCTCCTCTTTGTTCTTCAGCCACCGCACGTCCTGGCAGTCGTTGTCCAGCTCCACACAGAAGGTGGCTGTGTCGTTGATGAACACTGCAGTTTTCCGTGGGAGTTTCTTAATGATGTTCCCTTCAAACAACGAAATAAACGTAGTGAAGAAAACGGCAGATGTTAAAAGCTTTGGCAGCACTGGACCGTCCAGACTGAAACAGGATTGAAACCCAATCAAAGCATTATAGACACCTTGCAATCAGTTCCAAAGCTCTGAGTCACACAAAACAGATGACCCCAAGGATGCATTTTGGCCTTCAAATACAGAAAAGCAAATCTTTTTTGACTGTAGTCACTCAGGTTTCTTGTCTGCCAAGCACAGCCAGTTGCTGGGCAAACACAAAATATACATGGCCTGGCAGGAGAACATATTTGACAGTTTCCATTGCCCACATATGCTGGGAATTCAAATTAAAACTTTGCTGAAGTAGCTCAGTCTTAGGCCAGACAGGTCTCTCCTCTGCCTTTAGGATTTCACCTCCATCAAAGTAACCAACATAACCAACATGGCAGACATAGAAGTTACCTGAATTCATGAGAAAGACACTGAAAAGCTCAGGTTTCTGTTTGGAGTTAACACAGGAATTCAAATTGAATGATTTTTATGTCCTTTCCAAGTGACTGTGATTATCATCACTTACTAGGACAACCTCAAAGCTATAAGATGTGACTATTCACAGAAAAGATTGGACAAACCATAATGAGACCACTCCAAATGACCAACAGTGACTGGCTCCAGCTCCAGAGCAGTCCCTGAGAGGTGAAAGAGGCTTCACCAGAGCTGTTTAATGAACAGCAATACTGAACTCCCTCATGAAGTAACACATCAGGCACAGGGTTCACCACAAGATTCAAAACCTGATTCTCTGCTTATCCTCCTCCTTGACCTCTCTGCCCACAGCAGTGTCCTCATCCCACAGCCCTTTAGCTCTCACATTGTCCCAACCCCACCTTGCTCTCCCCAGTCCCCTCCCAGGGCAGGCAGGAGGCTCCCCTAGAAAAGCTCTGCCTCCTTTCCCTCCAGACAGCTCCACCTGGCTCAGTCACTCTCTTTTGGATGGAACATATCATCATAGCACAAACAAGTGAAAAAAATACCAGCTGTCCTGCTGGGACCAAACACACTTACAGGAGTGGGCTGGTCCACACCTAACGGAAGGTGCAACAAAAAGATGGCAGTCTGAATTCTCCCAAGACTCTGGACTAAATTTTCCCTTCTGCATCCACCTCTGTGCACTTCCAGCTCTTTTCTGGTGGTACAGAAAGGAACTGGCACCAGGATGCACATCACCCAGCTGTCCTGTAGCAATTTATAAATGAGGAACTTCTGGTTTCACTGGGAGTGTACTCAGGCTTCAAACGAGTCAGGACAAGATTAATCCTGTAGGTGTGACAGTCTCCAGTGCCTGCGGCTCTGGGGTTTGTGTCTGCTCACTGAGAGACACCCACACCACACCCAACAACACCTACTCCCACTTCAGTCTGACCCACCAGGCTCAGGACACTTGGACATGGCCATCCACACCTTGTCCTTTCCTTGTCCCCTTTCTAAACTCCAGAGAAATCTCCAGCTGCCTGGGATCTGGACCATGGATGTGTTTTCCAATCTAAACCATGCTGGTGTTGACTGCAGCCTGCACCACACATCTGGCCACAAAGCACAGCTGCTAAACTCCCTTTCCATTGTGGTCAGCACTACTCCTGGACAAGAGCCACCACTCTGTTCACAAGATGTGTGTGACAGTGCCAGGGGACACAACACACGCTTGGGATCATGTTAAGATGATGCTTTAGGATTTAGTTTTTATATTTTTCAAATCCTGTGCTGCTTTAGTGTGCGGCTGTAAAACTCCATAGCCTATCAGTTGCTGTTCTCTCATTTTATTCAGACAAAACAATTCCTCTCTGAGCCTGAAACTCAAGGACATCTCACTGCCTCAGGCCCCAAGAAATGTAAACAGCAGTGAATTGGCAAACTTGGAGTAAATTATTTTATTACCTGAAGTTGTAATTGGAAGATTAACCCCTGGTATGTAAATGGACCAAACTTAAAACTATATCAAAAACTCATGACCATTGTCCACCTTGGGTGTAGCCCCTCTTGGAGGCTTTTGACTGCCCAAGGTGCACCTGTTGAAGATTTTTAATAAATATCTGCTTTTTTCTCTTCATCTTGACTAGCCTCTGTTTTAGGTAGCCACTCCAAGGCATCAAAGAGAAGTCCACAGGCTACAGCTGAAGGAAGCATCTTTGTACAGGTTCCTACTGGGTGACATCTTGTGCAACAGATCCTGTCCCTCTGGCTCTGTGTCCAGAGACACCCTGGCAGGAACCCCAGGGACCCACTGACCACACAACTCACACCCTCAGGGACTCTTCTCCCCTTCGGTGCCCACACGGACGAGGCAAACCCAGCTCCCAAAGGTCAAACCTGGAGCCTCAGGTGCGAACCCCACACTTTTGGCCAAACACCAAGAGCCCTTCCTACCTTGGACAGAGAGCTCTGCAATGGTCCTGCTGCCCTCCTTCATCTCACAGATGTAGACGGCGTCGTCGTCCGTGGTGACGTTCTGCACGGTGAGCCGGCGGTACGTGCCCTCCTCCTCGATGTTGTACTTCTTGCTCTGCTGGAGCTTGGTCTCCTCCTTGAACCAAGCTGTCTCTGTCCCAGGAACGGGCACCTCACACTGGAAGGTGGCAGATTCCTTCTCCCTCACTTCGAGGTCCTTCAGCTTTGCCTTGAAGGGTATGGTGGGTTCTAAAGAGGGCGAAAACAGAAAGGAGGAAGAGGAGTTTGTGATGAGAGTAGGTTTAGATGGGAATTTAGGAAGAAATGAGGGTGGTGAAGCCCTAACACAGATTGCCCAGAGAAACTGTGGCTGCCCCATCTCTGGAAGTGGTCAAGGCCAGGTTGGAGTAAAAGGCCTTGAAATCCTTCTAGAGTTGGTTTAACGACAAACAAGCTGGTCATGGGACACAGCACAGGGCAGAAATTCCAGGTGAGAATGAGCAGCTGAGCTGGTGCCAGAACCAACGTTTTCAGGGTCTTACAGCAGAAATAAGGTCAGCTGAGTGATCTGAAAGGGTACAGAGAGCTGTGAGGTGGCTGTGCACAGTCAGAAGTGGGGGAAAGCCCAAAAGGAGGAGTCTTTCTGTTCTTCCCACCAGCACCAAAGGCTCTGCATCAGCTTTTGTCAGTGACAATAAAAGAAACAGAGAATGAGCCCCAGTCTCCCAACTCCTCCAGCAGTGGGGCTGCAGTGCTCTGGCTCAGGGCCAAACCCAAGCATAGATCAAACACACAAAGCAGCTGCATGACAGTGAGGGGAGTCATCTCACGAAGTGAACAATGTCAAATTCCAGCGACAGCTGAGCCGTGACATCACCCTGCCACCCCAGCCCTAAAGTGGAGAAAGGGGAGCTGCACTGAGGAGGACAGCCGGGGGTCAGGGCCATGGGAGTGGTGGCACAGCCGTGTCACACACTGGGATTAGCCAGCGCTGATCCATGGCTCATGCTTGGTGAGAGATCATGCCTTGATGTGTACCTTCACCTCCCATAACGGCTGTGCCAGCTCCCAGCTGGTTTTTGTGACTCCATCCTGCCTCACCACCCTCACAGTAAAGAATTTCTTCCTAATAGCTGATATAAATCTCCTCTCTTTCAGTTTAAATAAGGTACCAGGCTCTAAAGGACACCTGGAGGGAGCAATGCCAGTACCAGCCTGCAAATGCCTTGGTTGTTATCCTGAGGCTAAATCCTGACTTGGAATCCATACAGTATATCCAGGAACAGGAAGGTAACACTAATTCAACATGTCAACTTGGTAATATTTTAAAAAATATTATGCTTAAATACACCTCAGTTTAATGCAAGTCAAAGTCTTGCCTTGAAAACTTTCAGCTATGGTTACACAGATCTGCTCTGCCCACAGTCCAGATGGTGATTATCCTTTTTTCTTTTTTTTCTTGATTACTTTTTCAGGGTTAGATGTTAATATATTAAGATGAAATTCTTTATTCTGAGATTGGGCAGGCCCTGGTACAGGGTGCCCAGAGAAGCTGTGGCTGCCCCTGGATTCCTGAAAGTGTCCAAGACCAGGTTGGACAGGGCTTGGAGCACCCTGGGACAGTGGAAGGTGTCCCTGCCATGGCAGGGGATGGAAGGAGATGAGGTTTAAGGTCTCTTGCAAGCCAAACCATTCTGGGATTCTGTGAGGCCACACAAGTTTTGATCAGAAGGATGCAGCCTCTGGCAGGAGGGAGGCTGGAGCTGGCACTGGGAACATGCAAACCTGCACAAGGGCCAAAAAGAAACACAAGCTCCACCTGAGAAGCACACAAGTGTATTCCCATACTTGGAGCAGCTGGCCATATCATTAACCCCTCTCCCTTTACAGTCACTAAGCAGTACCTAAAGTAAAAAAAAAAAAAATAAAAAATTAAAAAGTTATTCCAGGAAAAAGCTCTAAAACATTCGAGCACAGAAGGGTTGGTTGACTCTCACGAATGCATTGCAGTTACATCAGTGCTCCCCCAGCCAGGGAAAGGCAGTGCAAGGCTATCTTTGGCAGCCTGGGGTCACAGATATCCCCTGAAAACAACTCTGCTTTCGTCCTGCTGACATGTGCACACACGTCTTATCTCCCTCTGAATGGAGCTTCAGAGCGACAGCAGCTGATAAAGTGAAATGAAGCCTGGGATGAACCCAGCCCAGGGCTTTTGGAGATGTGAGAGTGGTTCCAAAACCCACCAGCCTCCTCCTCCTCCTCCTGAGCATATCTTCATGCTCTTTACAAGGTCTACAATATGCCTGGTCAGGCAGAGGGGTTTGATTGGGGTCAGGGGATTATAGAAGGACCAGAGGTTTGAGATCAGGCATCCCAAATCATCTGGTCCACAACCAGCATCACACCCAGGTCAGAGAGGTGCAAATAAGAGAAAATAAGAGCTGCCAAAATCTGCCCACTGGGAAAAATGTGAGAGGCACAGCAGAGCAAAACACTGAGGGAGCACAGAGCAAGAGCAGCTTGTGGAATTAGCAGGAAACTGCAAGAACTTAGATCAGAGATTAATTTTGCTGCTTATCCCGAGGAGATATTTCTCCAGTCTGTCATAGGCTTTTTTGTTTGGTCCATAGCAAGTGAACTGGCAATGAGATGATGTCATTTTTAAAAAGCAAGTCCTGCTAACACATATTTTGCTAAGAATAGGTGCAGCCTGCAAAGAATCCCAAGGTTTTCTTAACCTTATCAAGGCACATCTGTCCTCTGGACCTCACTTTTTCACTTGCCTACATTTCCTCTTTCTTACTGCTGGAATTCTCACATTTATTATTCCAGAGGCAAGTTTTCCCCCTACCTAATGAAAATGTTCCAGGAAAGGTAAGAAAATGGACAATCCTGTCAGTAAGAGCTAGCTAAAGGTGGATTGACAAGCTTCCACCATCTTGAGCCTTTGATCTTCCTAGTTAGTGTGCTTTCCAAATTTCCTTTCTACCTCCTCATTTCTCAAGTTGCAATTCTCTTTCAGATCTCCAATGGGACTGTCATGACAAGGACCATCCAAAATCACATCTGATCAGAGGGACAATAAAGTGGCCTCAGGACCAGGGTGTTTTTCCCATCTCCATCCTGTTTGTCTTGCAACTTTTAACCTTCTCATCCAGGATCTGGTTACTTTATTCAGGGATTCCAGTGAATATGGCTTGGCCCAGGGTGGAGACCTGAATTCTGTTCTCACCAACTTTACACACAGTCTAGGGAAATCTCCAAAGCCTTCAGGAAACCCAAGCCGGTTATTTATGTTCCTCCCATCCTCCCCACTCCTTGTTGTTAAAGGTTTATTCTCGAGAAGAATTTCCCCAACTCCTTTTACAGCTCACATCTCAGTGTATGGATTGTGATTTTATCTCTGTTCCAGACACGTTTCTGAATCTAATCAAGCTTCAGCTTGCCTCATTTAAGAGAGTGATTCTCTGCCCTTTAGCCTTCGAGATTTAAGTCTGATTCACCAAATCTCATTTAGGACCAGCTCAAAAATCCTTTTTTTTTTTTTTTTTCTTCAGATCACTGATCTTTAAGGCACAGGCTCAGCAAAGTGTTCACAAATGTTGGGGTTCCTGGGTCCTTAGGTCCCTAGGATCTAGACTGACAGAATATAGGAGGCTTTCTATGGATGTCCCATCCCTGGAAGTGTTCAAGGCCAGTTTGAACAAAGCCCTGAGCAACCTGATCTAGTGAGTGGCATCCCTGCCCACGGCAGGGGTGTTTGGAACCAGATATCCCTTAAGGTCCCTCCCAGCCCAAACCATTCTGATTCTATGATTCTAAGGGTGGCTGCTTGGAGAATTCAACCTCTCCTACATGGCTGAGCAAAGAGAAGTTTGCATGGCAAGATGATCTCCCTCCCTAAGCCTGGTAGCAGATGAACCAGTGGCATCACCAGTGACAACAAACAACAGAATTAAAAACTTTTTTCACTGCTGCATCATTCTGACCTGTCTTGGGAGGGCTGAGGACTTCTGGTGACACAAAGGAGAGTCATTTATCAGGGCCTAATTATAACCAACACACGTAGATTTTCCATGGCAGCCTTGGACAGGGAGCCAAACGTGGTCCAGCGTAAAAAAGAAACAATCCATAAACGTTTCCACTTCAGCCTCCTGACTCACAGGCAGCTCTGGACAAGGGACACGGATCAATAACCTTTTCCCATGGTGCTTGCTCCCAGGCTGGCTGCTTCCCTTGCTTTCCCCACCTCCTTTGGAACAGGCTGCAGCCAGGAGTGCAGTGAGATAAGCACATGCAGAGCAGGGGGCGTTTGTTTTTGCAAGGGCTCGGGCAGGGAACTGAGCCTGATCCATCCTCAAAGTGATCACCCACCCAAGGGCCAGGATTGATCTTCAGCTCTAAGTCCCAACTCATGAGGTAATCACAGCTTTATGGAACAGGACAAATGCCCTTCCCCACACCACTCAGCACCTCCAAGGGACAGCAATGGGTGGGACAAGTGCCAGTGAGTTCCACGGATCAGGTGTCACTGATGGACACAGGGACTGAGCCACTGATGGGAAAGGCTCTGAATGTAAAAGGAGATGTCCAAAAAAGGGAAAACAGAAAATCAAATAACACATGAGAGTCTTAAAGATGAGTATGAAACACAGATAATTCCTACTTATTTGGATTTCTAATTTATTCTGTTGCCAGTGAAAAATCATCAGTTCTACCAGATGAGTGGCAAAATCTTTTGTCTCTGACAGCTCATTTACAGGTGCTGCCTAGGTTGCAAACTGCCTGCTGTCCCCTTGCCAAATGGGAGAGCAGCTGGAAAATTTAGAGCTTCCTGGATTGTTCAAGGCAAGGTTGGACGGGGCTTGGAGCAACGTGGTTTGGTGGGAGGTGTCTCTGCCCGTGGCAGGAGGTTGGAATGAGATGATTTTTAAGATCTCTTCTAATTCAAACCATTACTGGACTATATCAAAACTGTGTGTCACACTTTTGTTGCCATTCTGAAGAACTTGGTCTGGCCTTCACAAGAGTGGAGTGACCCTCTGAAGGGAAGTTCCTCACCACTGCCTATGGCCAACAAAGGCATCCTGGACCTGGGAGGTTTTCTAGGAGCGTTCAAGGAACACAGACTATCCAGCAACTCAATGTGGGAAAAGGGTGAAGAGCCTGGCAAGAACAAGGCTGCTGGTGGGTCACTGTACAGGAAAACTGAGCTGGACTGTAATTAGAGTTGGAGTAGGTCCCCCAGGGGATCCAAGGCAGCCTGACATGCTCATCTTGTAGGGAGGGGTTTCCACTACTGCTGCAAATGGCATGTCTGAGTAAACCCCATGGTGAACACAAACCCAGATGTGATTAAAGCCTGGAGGGTGAGACGGGGCAATGGCAGTCACTGACCCAGAGCATGGGAAGGGATCTGTTACACCACTGTAAAACCAGCAATGATGGGAGCCTTAGGGGTCTGGTGCATCCCAGCTGCCCCACAGCCAGCCAGTTCTACATCATCCACCCCTGCCTGGCACCTCTTTACTGCCCTTCCTAAAAACCACCAGCACTGGGACTCTCTCCCCAGGCCACCTATTCAAAAGAACAAGCCCTTTCCAGCAGGAGGGCTTTATTCACATTTAAACACTCTCCCCTGCAGCAGTTTGGAGTCAGAATTTTGTTCAAACCCCCACCCCAATTCAATGGTGTGTTATTGCAGGCATGCCCACCCTGGTGAGAGGCACAAGCACCCACCTTTGACAGTGACCAGCACAGAGCTGTAGGTCTGCCCCGCCAGGTTGGAAGCCGTGCAGGTGTACAGCCCATTGTCCGTCTGCTTGCAGAACAGGATCTTCAGCACGAAGTTCTCCTGGTCATCCTCGTAGATGACGTGCCGCCGGCCCTCCACAATGACCTCGTTGTCCTTCTTCCACACGATCACGGGCTTGGGCTCTCCGGTGACATAGCAGCTCAGCTTGGCGTGCTTGCCCTCCGTCACGCTGCAGGTGCGCGTCAGAGCCCCGAACGTGGCGTTGCGGGGCCCTTTGGTCAGCCCCGCTGCCCGCTCGTAATCCCTGCACAGGCTGTAGCCGATGCTGGACAGCCCCTCGACGGCGGAGTAAGCCTGGGCAGAGGTTGAGTCCAGAGTTCCGTGGGAGATGTCCGTCTTCCTGATCTCCTCCCGCCTCTTCTGCAGGTGGGACAGCAGGGAGGCGGTCTTGCCGCAGCTGCTGTCCAAGTTGGCGCTGCTGCCCGGGTTGGAGGAGCCGTGTGTTTCCACCACCAGCGCGGCCGAGGCGCTGGCGGAGCCGATGAGGTTCTCTGCCCGGCAGGTGTAGGTGCCACTGTCCCCCAGCTGGGCACACTGGATGGTGAGAGCGTTGGATTCCCCGGCAGACTCGATCTGGAAGCGTCCAGCATCCGCCTTGTTCCTCAGGTACCTCCCATCCTTCTCCCAGTTCACCGAGAGGGGAGGGCTGCCCTGGACTTTGCATTTGAACATGGCATCTTCTCCCAAGGTTACTTTGATGTTGGAAGGTTTCTGGATGAAGTAAGGAGCTGACTCTGTGACTGTGGTCTCCTGTCCCACTTTGATGCTGACAGCAGCAAAAGCCTCCCCGATGGTGTTCTTGGCCCTGCAGATGTACTGGCCGCTGTCCTCCAGGCTCAGGTCGTAGATGGTTAGCCGATACAAATCCCCATCCTCTGTGGTTTTAAACCTTCCCCCAGACTGCACTGGAAGTTTATCCTTTTCCCAGCTCACCACTGGGATGGGGTTTCCAACGATCTGGCAGCTCAGGGTGGCATCCTTCCCTACAGACACCATAAACGCCTTGGGCCGGGTCAGGAAGCGCGGGACCCCGCTGAGGGAGCTGTAATCCATCCTGGCCTCCTGCCTAAAGGGGACAGAGAACAGGGTCAGCAGACAGCAGGGCAGAGGGTGCAGCCACAGAATGGCTGCACTCCCGTGGTATCAGGGTGTTTGTCACCTGGAACCCCCATGTTTTCAATGCCCTTCTCATGATGGGTGAGAAGGTTTTGGAATATTATTGGTGTTGAGGATTTCTTGTATTTGAGGTCAATAAACTGCTGGATAAGGTAACTCACTTGTCCACAGAGCCTCTGGGCAAAAGAGAACTCTCTGGGCTGTTCATACAGAAGGAACATGATGATGCCTTTCCTCTGTGGTACTCACAGAGGGACCTGCACTAAAGCTGGGTGACAGATGAGATGGTTCTGCAACCACAAGGAACAAACTGGACACTAAATTCTGAGAGATGTGTCTGCCCATCAAGATACTGCCTCCATCCCAGAATGGGACCTTGAAGATCACCTCATTCCAACTCCCTGCCATGGGTAGGGATGTCATCCTCTAGATCAGGTTTTCCAAGAAGTTTTAAGTGCACCATTTCCCTTCAAGCTGTTTAACCCCTTTTGCCTCATGATGCCAGACTCCTCTGTCCTGGCAGCTCCTGTCTGAGCCCTAGGAATGATCCTACTCAAAGTGAGCACATCCCTGCTTTTTCACCTTCAAAATGCTGCACACAGCAGAAGGACCAAGGCTCTGGGTGCTGTAACTCAGAAAGGAAATCAAACCCAGTCAGTGAGACAGAAATATCCTTCTTAATCCTCCAGCAGTTTGGCTTCCCTGCTGGCCACACACCCACCCACTCTCTCACCCAATGGCAGGTGCTCTCACCATCTCCCCCCTAGCTCCAGCAGAAATCCATAGGAGCAGGCAAAACCCTGCTTTAATTTCTTAAATCACCATTTCTCCATCCTCCATAGTGCATTTCCATTAATATGCAAATCGCTGATGACATCAGGGAGTGAGGTTTGGATCCACCTGCTGCATGACCTTGGGAAAAATCACTTATTTTCCCAATTTCTCGTCTCCCCTCCCACTTCTTCATATCAAGCCAGATGGGCTCAGAAATAATTATGTGCACAGTGTACATATGACAATGTACTTGCTGAGGTAAATGACAAATTGTGCATGAAAATTAATAACAGATTACAAATTTAATTCCATTTATGATGCTGGGGTTTCAAGAATACAAGTTACCAATAAATCCATGCCATGGAAAAAGGGTGGCACAAAAATACAAAATGGTATTTGTTATGAGAGCCCAAGAAACTTTTGGAAAACTGCCTCAGGCACAGGGTGGGATTCTTGGGGCTGTCCCTGAGCAAGGCCAAATGTTGGACTCAGTGCTATTTATGGGTCACTTGCAGCTCAGGATATTCTATGATTTTGTGATCATTGATATCATTCAAAATGGCAATAATGAGCCAAACTCCAAATTTCATCTGGGTCACAGATCTGAGGCAAAACCAAATGTAACCTTTCTACATTTAACAGAGAATATACACCACATCCTGTCCTATCCTGTGTCTCCTGCTCCAAAGAACACACAAAATGACAAGAAGCAATCAAAGACTTCTCCTTTTAGATTAGACCAATCCTTTCTAAACAAATTCAATTGTGGCTGCTTTTGTTCCTGGTTTTGAGCAAATGTCATCATTCTGCCACAAATCTTTAGAAAATAAAGAAACAGGTTTCAAACGTTGAATCTGTGAGGGTGGGGGAAAAAGTAATGGGGAAAATTTACTTTTAGTAAATGCTAAGAGGGCAAAGAATGATTGACTTGTCAGTGCTGAGACCAGCTGACTTTCTGCTAAGTGAAAATATACAGAGAACTCTCTTTTCTCTTGGTCTCAAACTGTGAAATCTGTGAATTAATTTGAACTTCTCTGGATCCTCTTACTACCTCCAACCTCCACCCTCAGCTGAGCTTTAAAACTCATTTTCCATAAGTTTTTGTACAGCTGCAAGCAGACAAGCTGCATGAATGGTTAGAAGGGGCAGATAGGAGCCTGGGGCTTGAGCCAAAGTACACTGAAGTCAGTGGAAATTTCCACTGAGGTCAATTGATTGACAATCAGAGTGGTCTGCTCATTTGGGGAAGGACCATTTCAATGGTTAGAAGGAGATGCTGAGGTTCAGCTCAACTCTGGAGAGCCCAGCAGGACCATTCACTGCATTAACTAAGTTACCAAAACACAGAGTCAGAGCTCATGTCCTAGTATTCCCAGCCATTAGCTTGAATTTCAGGCTGCACTGTGCCACCAAACACTTGGATTCACCTTCAGAAGACACTGCCATGTCTCACCCTTCCCGGGTTCCTATTTGGTCTAATAGATGCATCACTCTGACTTATTTCCAGCTTTGTAGCGTTTCAAAAAGAGCAGAAAAATCGAGTTGCTTCACTTCTCCATCAAACTGGGCTCTGCACAACGTGGATAAGTGCCTGGAGCACTGAGGTGGCTACAGAGACATGAGAGGAGCTGCTTGGGAACCAGCCAGGGACCTTTCAGGTTTCCATCACCTGGGCCCCAGGACACCTTTCTGTGCCTGGAGGAGAGCTCTGCTCTGCTGGAGCACGGTGAGGGCTCTCAAAGCCTGGCTCTTACAGGAGCAGCAAAGCTGCTCACTTGCTACAGTGCATCCTTCTCTCCCTGCCCTTCTGTGCTGTGTCCAAACAAACACGTCCCAGCTGCTCCCTGGTACCTCTGAGAGTCAGGAACAGTCAAAAACAGGGAAAATCCTGCACCAGATGCCTGCTGGTTTTGCCTCTGAAACAAACTGGTGCAGCAAATCCATCCAAGGAGCTTCCTCTCAGTGTCCTCAAGGTCCAGCCTCCCTCTCCCATAGCTCCCAAAAACTCATCTGGTGTTTGCAAATCACTTTTCCCCATCCAATACAAGGTCCACAGGCCCAGAGTGGGGTGAAAACCCACATTTCCTGCTCTTAGCTACACCTCCAGCAGCTTTCACCATGTGCCCTCACACTCTGGTTTTTACACCATTATGAACAGCCAGGATGCCAGAAGAAAATCCAGGGATCAGCAAAAAAAGTGTGAGCTCATCATTATTTTAGAGATTTTTCTAACATGGAAGGAAAAAACAGGGTTTATTCCTTGCTCTGCCACTGGCTTGCTCATATAATTATGAGAAAGACACTCCAGTTCTCATCTCTTTAGTCCCCATCTAGAAAAAGGGGGAAAAAAACTTGTTTTATGGGTGTGGAGAGCATGAAATGCAGTAAGAGGCATGAAATCCTAACCTGCAGCAAGGATGAGGCTGTGTATGCATCTAACACATCTAACAAGTTAGACAGGCTGCACAAGATAAATTACATTTCATAATTTCAAATGGGATAAAATGCATCACACTGGATTATGATGATAAATAGATTTAGGAGCCCAGAGAGGACAGACTTGTGAGTGTACTGAAAGGATAAGATTTAATGTTTCTGCTGTGTAACTTGTCAATCAACTTATTCAATAATTGCTCTGATTTCAATTATTTACACGTTCATTCAAACTTCAAAAAAGCCTAGTAACTCTGAAAATTTGAAAAAAAAAAAATAGTAACTTTGCAAGTGCCAGGACAGCTCCCTTGGAAGGAACAGGACCAGCAACAAAGCATGAATAAAGCTAGTCAATGCAAATGCCCTTTCCAATAAATCTCAGACATTTGCCAGTGTCATATTTCCCCATGTAATCCCTCTGTGATTAATCATTTGCAGCAGAGATCACATTCCCATCTGGGGTATTTCTGAGCACGCCAAAGGCAAACTGGCAGCACTTAAAATTTTGCTTATGTCTTTATTAATTCGGATTTTCCCTGGTTTGTGTTTGGGGAAAGAGGCAGAACTCCACAGAGCTGTCAGATAATGCAAATAAATCACTGCCCTGCAGCAAACATGCAGCTGGTCCAGAGCTGTGCCAGTGTCTGCCCAGCCCCTGCTTCCCATGGGCAATGGGATGAGTGCCTTGCACTGGGAATAACCACAGAGCTGTGCTTGGGACTCCAGTTCCTGCTGGAGTACTTGGAAGTGGAACTCCTCAGGGAGGTGGAGAGCCCTGATGGTGGTGCCAGCGAATCCCAGAATGGTTTGGGGTGGAAGGGATCTGCAAGATAATCCTGTTCCACCCCCCTGCCATGGGCAGGGACACCTCCCACTGTCCCAGGCTGCTCCAAGTGTCCAACCTGGCCTTGGACACTTCCAGGGATCCAGGGGCAGCCACAACAGCTCTGGGAATTCCATCCCAGCCAGGAATCCCTTCCCAATATCCCATCCATCCCTGCCCTCTGGCAGTGGAAGCCATTCCCTGTGTGCTGTCCCTCCATGCCTTGTCCCCAGTCCCTCTCCAGCTCTCCTGGAGCCCCTTCAGGCCCTGCCAGGGGCTCTGAGCTCTCCCTTCTCCTCTCCAGGCTGGACACCCTCAGCTCTCCCAGCCTGGCTCCATCCCAGTCTCCCGGGATTGACTGTGCACTGCTGCCTGATGGGTTGGTTTCACGTTGCTTCCTTAATGCTGATCTGCACCTGGAAAAGCTTCAGCAACCTCTGGGAAGGCAGAGAACCCCCCATGGAAAATTGCCCCCAAGCTGTCAGCAGCCTGTGATGAAGCTCTTGGTGTGAGGGAGGACAGGGCTAACAGGTTATTCTCTGTCCAAGCCTTTCCATTCAAGGATTGGAAAGAGAATCCTGTCCACCAGGACTCAGGGCAAAGAGGAAAAAGCACAAAGCACTGTGCAATCCATGTCATAAAATATTCCTGAAATAAAGGTGGCCACGAGTAGCAAAATTAGAGACTCTGGGGACATAATTAAACCTAAGGGATCACCAAGGTCCAAACACAGATCAGAAGCACAGAATTTCTCTCAACACCACATTAAGGTCATCATGTCCCTGTTTGCTCATTTCCTCAATTCTCTTTTACCCTTTCTTTGCTCAAGTCAAAAATAATATGTTCATTTGGGGTATTTTTCTTGCCTTTGGAGCTTATGTTTCCTGAACATCCTCTGCAATGCTAC